CTGAACCCAGGAGGCGGAGGTTGTGGTGAGCCGAGATCGCGCCATTGCACTCCAGCCTGGGTAACAAGAGCAAAACTCCGTCTCAAAAAAAAAAAAAAAAATTTATCTAGATAGATGTTATATGGGTGTTTGGGGTACTATTCTTGCAATTTTTTTTTTTTTTCAGAGACAGAGTTTTGCTTTTGTTGCCCAGGCTGGAGTACAATAGTGCAATGTCAGCTCATTGCAACCTCCGCCTCTCAGGTTCAAGTGATTCTCCTGCCTCAGTCTCCCAAGTAGCTGGGATTACAGGTGCCTGCCACCACGCCCGGCTTTTTATTTTTAGTAGACAGTGTTTCCCATGTTGGCCAGGCTGACCTCGAACTCCTGACTTCAGGTGAGCTGCTCACCTTGGCATCCCAAAGTGCTGGGATTATAGGCATGAGCCACCTCGCCCAGCCTCTTGTAAATTTTTATTTAAGTTTAAAATTATTTCTAAATTAAAATTTCACTTTACCTTCGGAATAAATGTAATAAAAATAAATACTGGGAAATATTTCTGAATGATAACTGCAATTTATATGCCAGGCACTGGACTAGAAATTACATATATATATATGTATGTGTGTGCGTGTGTATATATATATATATATATATATACACACGCACACACATACATATATATATATATAAAGAAAAAGAAAAGAAATTAAAAAATAAAAGATTACATATATATGTACATAATCTCACTTAATCCTCAATGAGTACTACTCTGATCCTCATTTTACTGACATCAAAGTGAGACAGAGAAGTTAACTTGTAGAGCTGCTATTTTAACTCATGCAACCTGATTACAGAATCCACATTCTTATATACTATATTGTCTGCATATAAAAGGAAGTACAAGTGAACTCTGTAAAATTTCCTTCTTGGCTCAAACAATTAGGTTACCATCTATAACCATGTTTTTAAACTTTAATATTATTAGGCCAGGTGCAGTGGCTCAAACCTGTAATCCCAGCCCTTTGCGAGGCCGAGGAGGGTGGATCACGAGGTCAGGATTTCAAGACCAGCCTGGACAACACAGTGAAACCCAGTCTCTACTACAACTACAAAAATTAGCCAAGTGTGGAGGGGAGCACCTGTAATCCCAGCTACTTGGGAGGCTGAGGCAGGAGAATGGCTTGAATCTGGGAGGTGGAAGTTGCAGCAAGCAGAGATCTGGCCACTGCACTCCAGCCCAGGCAACACA